TCTGAGTGTTTGGACACATCTTCAAGTCTGAAAGTGAAAGATGTTTCTGGGAGACAATCATTTATAGCTCTTCTGAGTTCTTCAGATGCATCTGAATGACTTCTTTCCTTCAGACCGATTTTTAATTTTGTATTATTCATCTCTGTTACAGTAGATTCATCCTCAGTAAGAAGACAAATGAGTGGCTTTTTGTTTGTGTACAGGTTTTGAATCATTTTAATGCTTTCGTTCCTGTCAAGTTGTGGTAGAAGAACAACATTGACTGAGGCCATTTCAGTGAGGATCTGCAGCTGTTTTTCATGGTCTCCTGCATCACCGTGTAGATTACAGAACGCTACACAGTCAGTGAATTTATCATCATTTGTTCCAGATGGGCAGAACCAGGCGATCTCCACCACTCCATCCATCAGGACTCTGGTTCTGCTGCTGCCTGGGCAGTTCCTGTGGAAGAACGTGTTGTGTTTCTCATTGATCAGACTGTTCATCAACTGAGACTTGGATGAAGACACAGAGCCAAACCTGAAGAAAAACACCATTGGAGTTTCTGCCTTGTAGATCGGCTCGGTATGATTGATGATTTCATTGTTGGTGTTGTTCATCTTCCAGCTCTTGTTGATTTGCCTGAATGTCCAGAAAGGAAACTCAATCTGTTGAGTGAATGGATCAGGAACAAGCAGAGGCAGAGCGTACTGACACTGGGACAGTTTAGTGACCATCAGCTGTTTCAGAAAGCCATCAGCACAATGAAACACGGCCATCTGAACATCCATCGGGTGGCTTCGCTCAGATTGGCCTGTTTCTTCATTAGACGTGGACATTTCTTTCAAAACATCACTGTTGTCTTCAGATGATTCACTGTCTCTTTGTTGTGTGTCATGCTGTTCATTGGTATCTTTAACATTTGTGTATTTTGCTCTGTTGTTCATCATCAGTAGTTTTTGTATGAAACTCCAAACCAGCTTCTCCTCAGCACAAGACTTATGGGACTTTAATAAATGAGCAGTTAACTGAAGAACTTCTGCAGTTTTCAGTTTATTTTTGTTCTTGTCGAGATGAAGTCTGTGAAATAGTTGCTCTATTTTTTCTCTTTCAGTCTTTTCCTTTTGAAAGTGTTGATCTGGACTGACTCCTGCTGTGTCTGTGTTTTCTCTCTGTTTAGTAGACAAAACAATTATGCATCTTTAAACAGTGTTTTCCAGTTCTGTTTTCAACAAATCTGTCATTTCATCTGGGCTTTCTTACAATTTGACTGATCAGTGTGTTTAAACCACACAGCACCACTTACTATTCTGACACAATTCATTTTGTAATTTTTCCTATCCACCTTATTTTTCCTGTAAGAACGGGCACGGCCATTTGTCAGTTGTATGGCTCTGGCTTGTAGTATAATTCGCTTCTAGCTATTTTTAGCTGTACAAAACAGCTCGTTTTGCTGCTTGATATTGCAAACTGGTGTGTCTTACCATATTATTTGAATGTATTATCTTAATTATGAACACACTGGTTTGTAGTGCATACAGTTTTACCATTTACTGCACTTTGTTATTCTCCTCGCTATTTCCCTACAGCGGCTAATGAACCGGAAGTCTCGCACATTCACAGAAAACTGCTTACTTCCGCATTGAAAAATAAGGTTTTTAAGGTTTCTTTGAAAACTCACCTGTAGTGAATCATTGGTTTCAGTGCAGATCTTCTCCTTTTTCTCTTGTTCCCATTCCTCTTTCATCTCCAACTGTCTTCTCTTAAGTTTCTCTTCATGCTGTTCTTCAAGTAGTTGCAATTTTTCTTCAAACGTCTTTTGTTGATCTTCTCTCATGTTTCTTTCTTCTTTCAGTCTCTTCTCAAATTCCTCTAGTTGTTCTCGTCTCTCTCGTTCTATTCTTATTTTCTCTCTGATCTCTTCCTCCATTTCACTCTTGAGTCTCTGATACTGTTCCTCAGAGATCTGTTTCTCTCTCTCCCACCTCTTCTTATCTTCATCTTCTCTTCTCTTTCTCTCTTTGTCTTGATTCTGTTTTGCTTCCTCTATCATCATCTTCATGGTCTCTTTCTCTTCTAGTTTTCTCATCATTTCTTCTTTTTCTCTGTTCATTTGCTCCACTCTCTCTATCAGGATCTTCATGTTGTTTTCTTGTGTTTCATGTTTAGAATGGAGATCTACTTTCTCTGTTTCCATTCTCTCTCTCTCTTTTCTTAGTCTCTGATTAAATTCATCCCACATTCTCTGTTCTCTCTCTCGTTGTTTCTCATCCTCATCTTCTCTTCTCATCTTTTCTTCTTTTTGTTTCTGTCTCTCCCATTCCTCTTGTTCTTTCTTCATGTTTTCATGGATCTCTCTCTCTTTCTTCTCCTTTTCTTGTATTTGTGTTTTGTATTGTTCTTCCCTCTCATTAAACTCTTCTTCACTTCTCTTTCTCTCTTCTTCATGATTCTGTCTGTCAGTCTCTAGTCTATTCCTCAGTTTGTCTATTTCTGTGTCATATTGGAGTACAAGTTTTTCTCTGTCTGTATTTACCTTCTCTTTCTCTTGCATCATTTTCTCAATTTCATGTTCAAACATCTCTCGTTCTCGTCTCATATCATCTCTTATTTCTCTCTGATGTGCCTCTTGTTCTGTTATTTCTCTTTTGAGTTTCTCTTCTCTTCTCTTTCTTTCTTTGTCATGATTTTGTCTTTCTTCCTCCATCATCGTCTTCATTCTCTCTTTCTCTTCTTTTAGTTTGGTCATCAGATCTTCTTTTTCTCTGTTCATTTGCTCCACTATCTCCATTAGGAGCTTCATATTTTCTTCTGCTTCATGTTTAGATTGAAGATCATCTTTCTTTCGTTTCATTCTTTCTTTCTCTTGTTTATATCTTTGATTAAATTCATCCCACACTCTCTGTTTCTTCTCTCTTCTTGTCTCATCCTCTTCAGCTCTTCTGATCCTTTCATCTTGATTTTTCTGTTTCTCCCATTCCTCTCGTTCTCTTCTCATTTCCATTTTATATTGTATTTCTCGCTCTCTAAATTCTTCTTCTCTCCTCTTTATCTCTTTGTCATAATTTTGTCTTTGTTCCTCCATCATCATCTGCATTCTTTCTTTCTCTTCTTCATGTTTCTTTGTCAGTTCTTCTCTTTCTCTGTTCAGTTGCTCCACTCTCTTCATCAAGAACTTCATTTGTTGTTCTTGTTTTTCTCTTTCCATCTGTCTGAACATCTTACATGAGTAGAAACTCTCACCGTTTGCTTTCACCATGGCGTCTATCATCTCCAGCAGATCAGACACCTGTGTTCGGTCTTCAGTCTTATTATTATTGAACACATGGTATCTTTTTCCACATGCTTCAATTAGATTCATCAAAGGAGATCCAGGTTTTCCCAAACACTGTTCAATGGTTTTGTTCTTCAGACCATCTCCTCTGGTGAAGAGCACCATGGTGTACATTAAAGAATTTTCACCAAACATCTCTTGGATGATCTTCACTGATTTTGCTTCTTCTGGAGTGAATCGTCCCAGTGGTATCAGTAAGAGAAACACATGTGGTCCAGGCAGTACCATGGAGATACAGTTGGTGATTTCTTTCTGGATCTCCTTATTAGTAAGTTCAGTATCAAACAGTCCTGGAGTGTCGATCACAGTAATTTGTCGGCCGTTGATTCTTCTGCTTTAAATGTGTTTCTTCCTAAGATGGTGTTTCCTGTAGCACTCTTCCCAACTCCAGTTTTTCCCAGCAGCACAATCCTCAGATCATCTTGTCTCTCTGTTGAACCTGTAAAAGAAGAAATGCATTAGGCTAATACAGGTTTTCAAAAGTTTGACTTATCTTTTGAATAACCCTGTTTGTGAGAGGACTGCTGTCTCCTTGTTTATCATGTCACATCAGTATATTAGGAGTGTTAAATGATAACACTTTTGATATATTGTACTTTACACATAGTGTACTCTAGGTAGGGGTGGGCGATATGAGCTAAAATTCATATCACGATATTTTACACTGTGCAGGCAATATCAATATTATATTGCGATACGAGAAAAAAAATTACAGGTAAAATATTTTAACCTTATATAACTAGAAAAAGTGAGGGATTGGACATAGACCTGAAAAGTCTTTTTTTATTGTGCAATTGTTTTTCTCAAAAAGTGCAAACGTGCAACATGAGGTAGGCCTGTATGAATTAAATTAAATATTGTGTGTTTGAGTAGGCCAGTGGTTCCCAAACTTTTTGTGTCAGAGCACTGGAGTTCGTCAGAAATAGAAAGCGGCATCAGTTTACTGTCATGGATTCGTCGCTCCACATCCACAGCAGAGAACATCACTGGGTTTTGCTTTTGTCAAATCACGCCGCTCGCGTCTGGTGTAGACACGTTGTTTTGGTATTTGTGAATCTTAAGTATATTCATAATCTGCTTTACGTTTATCTTGTCTATTTCTGTGTCATATTGGAGTACAAGTTTTTCTCTGTCTGTATTTACCTTCTCTTTCTCTTGCATCATTTTCTCAATTTCATGTTCAAACATCTCTCGTTCTCGTCTCATATCATCTCTTATTTCTCTCTGATGTGCCTCTTGTTCTGTTATTTCTCTTTTGAGTTTCTCTTCTCTTCTCTTTCTTTCTTTGTCATGATTTTGTCTTTCTTCCTCCATCATCGTCTTCATTCTCTCTTTCTCTTCTTTTAGTTTGGTCATCAGATCTTCTTTTTCTCTGTTCATTTGCTCCACTATCTCCATTAGGAGCTTCATATTTTCTTCTGCTTCATGTTTAGATTGAAGATCATCTTTCTTTCGTTTCATTCTTTCTTTCTCTTGTTTATATCTTTGATTAAATTCATCCCACACTCTCTGTTTCTTCTCTCTTCTTGTCTCATCCTCTTCAGCTCTTCTGATCCTTTCATCTTGATTTTTCTGTTTCTCCCATTCCTCTCGTTCTCTTCTCATTTCCATTTTATATTGTATTTCTCGCTCTCTAAATTCTTCTTCTCTCCTCTTTATCTCTTTGTCATAATTTTGTCTTTGTTCCTCCATCATCATCTGCATTCTTTCTTTCTCTTCTTCATGTTTCTTTGTCAGTTCTTCTCTTTCTCTGTTCAGTTGCTCCACTCTCTTCATCAAGAACTTCATTTGTTGTTCTTGTTTTTCTCTTTCCATCTGTCTGAACATCTTACATGAGTAGAAACTCTCACCGTTTGCTTTCACCATGGCGTCTATCATCTCCAGCAGATCAGACACCTGTGTTCGGTCTTCAGTCTTATTATTATTGAACACATGGTATCTTTTTCCACATGCTTCAATTAGATTCATCAAAGGAGATCCAGGTTTTCCCAAACACTGTTCAATGGTTTTGTTCTTCAGACCATCTCCTCTGGTGAAGAGCACCATGGTGTACATTAAAGAATTTTCACCAAACATCTCTTGGATGATCTTCACTGATTTTGCTTCTTCTGGAGTGAATCGTCCCAGTGGTATCAGTAAGAGAAACACATGTGGTCCAGGCAGTACCATGGAGATACAGTTGGTGATTTCTTTCTGGATCTCCTCATTAGTAAGTTCAGTATCAAACAGTCCTGGAGTGTCGATCACAGTAATTTGTCGGCCGTTGATTCTTCTGCTTTAAATGTGTTTCTTCCTAAGATGGTGTTTCCTGTAGCACTCTTCCCAACTCCAGTTTTTCCCAGCAGCACAATCCTCAGATCATCTTGTCTCTCTGTTGAACCTGTAAAAGAAGAAATGCATTAGGCTAATACAGGTTTTCAAAAGTTTGACTTATCTTTTGAATAACCCTGTTTGTGAGAGGACTGCTGTCTCCTTGTTTATCATGTCACATCAGTATATTAGGAGTGTTAAATGATAACACTTTTGATATATTGTACTTTACACATAGTGTACTCTAGGTAGGGGTGGGCGATATGAGCTAAAATTCATATCACGATATTTTACACTGTGCAGGCAATATCAATATTATATTGCGATACGAGAAAAAAAATTACAGGTAAAATATTTTAACCTTATATAACTAGAAAAAGTGAGGGATTGGACATAGACCTGAAAAGTCTTTTTTTATTGTGCAATTGTTTTTCTCAAAAAGTGCAAACGTGCAACATGAGGTAGGCCTGTATTAATTAAATTAAATATTGTGTGTTTGAGTAGGCCAGTGGTTCCCAAACTTTTTGTGTCAGAGCACTGGAGTTCGTCAGAAATAGAAAGCGGCATCAGTTTACTGTCATGGAGTCGTCGCTCCACATCCACAGCAGAGAACATCACTGGGTTTTGCTTTTGTCAAATCACGCCGCTCGCGTCTGGTGTAGACACGTTGTTTTGGTATTTGTGAATCTTAAGTATATTCATAATCTGCTTTACGTTTATCTGGCACTGGAAGTCCTTTCACAAACTTGTAACTTTAATGCTTAGAGCAGAACCATGCATCGTTCATTTATATTTCTACATGGCTGCCAGCAATACAACTCTGATACTTCAAACGCGCCATCTAGTGGTCTGTTATTGATACAACCACAACTGCTACAACTGATAACGGAGCGCTCAAGCGGGTACTGTGAGTCATATTGAGGTAATTTAAATATGTCAAATTAATATTTTGCGTTCAATTATTTACTTATCAGACAAGTGGCTGCATGATAAGCGGGAAAATTACGCAGTGTAGTCTATCACCCTGCAGAGGTTTCTTTTGCAAAATAATCTGCTGACTGTACACTATCCCTCAGTTTGGGAACCACTGGAGCAGGCGATTTGTGCTCCATTAATTTGGTCTGTTACTATGCTCTATGTGTTTGATTACTAATGCCTGTGTAGTATGGCGTTGCACACAGAGGACAAAAACGTTCAGCCTTGACTCTTTATCGTCATTTGTGTTAAAATTTGCAAAGCATACCAAATTGAACAAATCTATATAAATGCAAAATTTGAATTCATGAATATATAACGGTATCCACGGTATAGCAAAATCCATATCATAGGACAACATAATGTTGGTAGTCACGTTCATACCGGTATAGCGCCCATCCCTAACTCTAGGTTGGAGTAATGATGTTAAAAAAACTCAAAACTTTAGCCAGTTTTTTTTCTCTATAGTGTAAAACCCCAACTGATTTTCTGTTCATTACCTTGTGACAGAAAATGTGTCTCTAGTGAATTAATTTTCTTCTTAATCTTTTCAAATTGCAGCAGTTTTTTCATCTGAGCCTCCAAAAATGTCTCTGTAGAGAAAAACTGTCCTCTGTTTTCTTCCAGCATCTGCTCAATGTTCTCCATCAATGTAGACACCTGTGTGGTGGGACCAAAGAAATGATGTCGTCCTCCAAAACTCTCAATGACAGACTTTGTTTCTTCATTGAGTTCTGCTGTCTGATGCTCTGAATCCTGCATTATGAGAATCATGATGTGTTTGTTGATTCTTGAGCTGAAAATCCTCTGGATCTCCTCCATTTCTGCTTTGTCTTCATCAGTCAGTGGAGCATCAGGAATAATGAGGAGGAAAACATTAACTCCAGGATGACAGAGAGACACACAGTGAAGAGTCTGACGCATCACTTCCTCCTCTGAGAGCCGAATGTTGAACAGAGCTGGAAGCTCCACCAGACTGATCGGACGACCATGAAGCTCCACATCTGATCTTCTGTCTGTCTGCTGCAAGATCCGCTCTGATATGGAGGATTTTAATGTGCCGTCACTTCCACACACAACCAGATTCAGCTTCACACCCTCTGAAACTAATAGATTAAAATGAAAAAACAAATAATTCGTTTTATTGTTAATTTATCACTACAAACATATGCTCTATGTGTTTGATTACTAATGCCTGTGTAGTATGGCGTTGCACACAGAGGACAAAAACGTTCAGCCTTGACTCTTTATCGTCATTTGTGTTAAAATTTGCAAAGCATACCAAATTGAACAAATCTATATAAATGCAAAATTTGAATTCATGAATATATAACGGTATCCACGGTATAGCAAAATCCATATCATAGGACAACATAATGTTGGTAGTCACGTTCATACCGGTATAGCGCCCATCCCTAACTCTAGGTTGGAGTAATGATGTTAAAAAAACTCAAAACTTTAGCCAGTTTTTTTTCTCTATAGTGTAAAACCCCAACTGATTTTCTGTTCATTACCTTGTGACAGAAAATGTGTCTCTAGTGAATTAATTTTCTTCTTAATCTTTTCAAATTGCAGCAGTTTTTTCATCTGAGCCTCCAAAAATGTCTCTGTAGAGAAAAACTGTCCTCTGTTTTCTTCCAGCATCTGCTCAATGTTCTCCATCAATGTAGACACCTGTGTGGTGGGACCAAAGAAATGATGTCGTCCTCCAAAACTCTCAATGACAGACTTTGTTTCTTCATTGAGTTCTGCTGTCTGATGCTCTGAATCCTGCATTATGAGAATCATGATGTGTTTGTTGATTCTTGAGCTGAAAATCCTCTGGATCTCCTCCATTTCTGCTTTGTCTTCATCAGTCAGTGGAGCATCAGGAATAATGAGGAGGAAAACATTAACTCCAGGATGACAGAGAGACACAGAGTGAAGAGTCTGACGCATCACTTCCTCCTCTGAGAGCCGAATGTTGAACAGAGCTGGAAGCTCCACCAGACTGATCAGACGACCATGAAGCTCCACATCTGATCTTCTGTCTGTCTGCTGCAAGATCCGCTCTGATATGGAGGATTTTAATGTGCCGTCACTTCCACACACAACCAGATTCAGCTTCACACCCTCTGAAACTAATAGATTAAAATGAAAAAACAAATAATTCGTTTTATTGTTAATTTATCACTACAAACATATTGTCAAACTCACGTCTTTCTATGGCCTGTTGCTTTGTTGTCAAATACTGTGAAGCTTCATATTCGGCACAAACCAGGTGATGTCCATCATTCATTCGTACAATGTCCTCAAACATCTGCAGAAGATCATCAAAAGAGCTGCTTCTCTGAAGACTGAAGAGTCTGTTGAAGCATTTCTGAATGATTTTCTGTAGGATATGATTGGTTTCCGTGGACTTTTGTGTGGTGATCACCATGGTGTGTTGAAAAACCTGCTCAGAGAAAGAGTGCAGCACCTTCTCCACGCACTCTTGATCTTCTGTTGAACACTGCTCATGTTTGAGGAGCAGCACGATCACATGAGGTCCTGGATCAGACAGATACACACACTCTCTCACTGTCTGTGTGATCTGATGATCTGAGATGTTTGTCTGGAGCAGCTGAGGACTGTTGATGATGGTCACATGTCTGTCCTTCAGTCTTCCTCCAACTCTCTCTACAACATCTGGAGGAGCTTCACTGTAAAACGCTGCTCGTCCTAATATAAAGTTTCCCACTCGACTGTTTTCTGACTCATTCTTTCCCAGCAGAACAATCCTTAGATTACTCACTGAAACAAACATGTGATATGTAACAAGTTATGATGCTAAGTGCTTCTATCATCTTGGACTGAAATTTAAAAAATCCACCTTTAGGAGGTGAATTTAAGTTTTTTTGTATTATGTAATAAATTTCCCTTTATTTCCATACACTCTTCATCAGTTCATGTACTTGTTTATCTATATAAAAACTTACGTATAGGAGGTAAATTTTGACTCTGTTTTCTCCTGAGAGCATCTTTGGGAGCAACATTCACTGTATGAAACAAAAGTTTTATATTAAAATTGACTCTAATCACAGTAGCATGTACTAACAGAAAACAAAATCTTCAAATGATTATTACACGAAGAAATATGAAAGTGAGAGATACTGAGAAATCAGATTCGAAAATACAGTTGGTTCAGAGTTGGTGCTTTAGCCTTGAGCCTTGAAAAGAACAATGCAAATTTTAACTAAATATGTAGTGAAGAAGCTATATTGAAATTTCCTCAGATGTTACAAACAACAATCTAATATCTTTTTAGCTTTTCTCATTTGGTCAACAATATTTGAAACTGATTAGTCTATGATTCTTACCTCTGCCAACTCTGCTGGACATGTCGATATTCACTTCACTCCTCTGTCTCTTTCTTTAGTCTTCATTCGATCAACTTCTTTGACTCCTGGCATCTGACTGTTCTTTGTCCAGTACAAGATTTCAGTGAAATTGTTTTTAAATCAATATCATGTATTAATTACTTATTCATAATTAAACTAAACTTATCATTTATTGTTGCATGACACATTTACATTTAGTATAACAATTATAAACAGGGTATTTGTAAGGAAAATAAGATACCTGTATATCAAGGTTTCATATTGCGGTAAGTTTCTTATTACCAACAAGCAGGAAAAGGTTTGCAGAAGGTGTCAGTTACATTGCAAAGGTAAAAACCTGTTTGTCTGTCTTGTTTAACAACCTGTCCAACCTGAATCTGTCCATTGAACTCTATGTAGCAAACGTCACATTCTGCTCACTGATCAAGAATTTGTGATATGGCACCAGTCACATTACGACACATGTCTGTGTATTTTTGGCACCTTATTTATTTATTTGTTTGTTTACTACCAGAATCATTATTATAACAGTAAAAAGGACTGTGGGCTCACCCAATGTTTAATCCACTAGACAGGGTTTAATACTTCTACGTAGAAGCTTAACAATTACAGACCTTTGTGTCATTTTGTATTTTTATCAGTGCAAATCAATGCCATCTGTCACCATCTTGCCAAAAATGTTTCTGCAAACCAACTTCCTGATAGTCTTTTTTGTTGTTCATCATTAAATGATGCTCAATTTCATGTTCTTCATGAATAAAATCAGCAGGAACATATGACGAGATGATGACATAGTAATGAAATCTGTTTACTTCACATTATTAGCCCAGCGTGTTTGAATATTCCCCTCATAATTCTTAGGGAAATATTGCTTTTAATTACACTTGAAAATAGCATAAAAGCGCAATTCAAGTGTCATACACACAAATCTTTATATTTTTATACCAATTCAACATTAAAAGTATCTGCATCATCTGTATCTTTTCATTGTCAGTAAATTATCTTGCATCTAATTGTTTGTTTTAAGCTTTAAATTATAAATATAGTGGCACTTCTTATGTAAATTTGCACCCTGTCTTCTGGCAGTGAGACTGTAGAACTGCAGCTCCGGATATTACAGTAGGAAAGACTTCAGACTGTAGTCTGTGTATTCATTTATAGTTATTTAATTTTAATGTTGAATTCTGATTCACAGTCATTTGTGGAGTTTATTTAGGTCATAAATATGACTACATATTGCATATAGCCTTATTTAAGTATTTGGCTAAATATTATATATATATACAGGTGCATCTCAATAAATTAGAATGTCGTGGAAAAGTTCATTTATTTCAGTAATTCAACTCAAATTGTGAAACTTGTGTATTAAATAAATTCAATGCACACAGACTGAAGTAGTTTAAGTCTTTGGTTCTTTTAATTGTGATGATTTTGGCTCACATTTAACAAAAACCAATAAAATAAAACCAATAAAAAAAACATTTTTAGTGAAATGTTGGCCTTCTGGAAAGTATGTTCATATACTGTACATGTACTCAATACTTGGTAAGGGCTCCTTTTGCTTTAATTACTGCCCCAATTCGGCGTGGCATGGAGGTGATCAGTTTGTGGCACTGCTGAGGTGGTATGGAATAATTTATTGATGCACCTGTATATATATATATATATATATATATATTATTTCAATAGTCAACTTTAGATATTCTGCTAACTATAAATAACTACATGGGAACTGTCACTCATTTGCAACTACTCATTAGAGTTGCCAGGCAATGTCACCATGCGATGTTGCTTGGGCACTTTCCCATTGAAAATGGGCAACAATTTTCTTTCTGGATACTTTAGATGGAAATTTGTTGCCCATTCTCAATGGGAAAGTGTCCAAGCAACATCGCTTGGTGGCATTGCCCAGCAACATTACTCAAAAAGTTGCCCTGTGTATAGGGATGCTCCAATCGATCGGCCAGAGATCGGTTTCGGCCAATAATCACATTTTATGACTCGATCGGTACTCACTAACTTGGCCGATCTCACGAACCAATTGCAATTTGATGACGTCAACGCGTGAGGACATACATGATGCGTGAGGACATAAATGATTTGGCGCCGCAGTCATGTCATCGCCGGTGTGGAAATGCTATGACGTTTCGAGAAACAATGAAAAATTTGCTATTTGTCGTGTATGTTTTGCATGATGATATGATGAATAGATGGTTCATTTTTAACAGCAGATTCAGGGACGTTAGAGACTAGAGCTGATCTGCACATCACGGCACGCGTCTGTGGCGCATTAAAGCCTGTGTTACGGCCACCGGATCTGATCGCGACCACTCAGTCAATGCCAGACCCGGACTGACCATCGGGAGCACCGAGAGAATTCCCGGTGGCCTGGCGGCTGATTTGGTCCGCTGCCCTATTTTAAAAAAAAATTTTTTTTTTAGTTAGG